AATCATATTATTTTATCTCGTAATTACGAGATAATCATCGCGTAATTACGAGAAAACTATCGTGTAATTACGAGAAAACTATCGCGTAATTACGAGATAAAATAAACTGCTTCCCTGAACAGTTGGGGCAAAAATGGACACAATATTCAAGCTTGATACAGGTCTGAATTTGGATTGTAATTAAATATATGACATATTATAGGTTTCTGAATAAATGTAGTCAAAGAACTTGAAATTGGTTATATGAATTGAATTTATATTCAATTAAAGATTTCTTGCTGTTGTGCAATACACTGTGCTGTTGCGCAATACTTAGTAAATCTATTGTCAGACTATAAACAAATAAAGTTCAATTAATTCTCAATGTCATATTAGACATTTATGAAAATGTAAAGGGAGCTTACATCAATAGATATAAACAATTCACCAAAGTTTTGTAAGAACTGCTGAAAGCATTTTTTATTTTTTGTCCGAAAACTGGAAAATCCCCCTTTTTTTTATGAATAAAACCCCATAACTCGGAAACGTAATAACTAAAATTTATAAAAAACGAAAGGGATCTCACGTCAATAGACATAAACAATTCACCAAAGTTTTATGCAAATTAGTTGAAGCGTTTTTGAGTTAATATCCGACATATTGACGACGGACGGACAGACGGACAACGGTATACCATAATACGTCCCGTAAACGGGCGTATAAAAATGATTATCTCGTAATTACGAGATAAAAAAATGACTATCTCGTAATTACGCGATAGTTTTCTCGTAATTACGCGATGATTATCTCGTAATAACGAGATAAAAAAATGATTATCTCGTAATTACGCGATAGTTTTCTCGTAATTACGCGATAATTATCTCGTAATTACGAGATAAAAAATGATTATCTCGTAGTTACGAGATAAACTAGAGGCTCTAAAGAGCCTGTGTCGCTCACCTTGGTCTATGTGCATATTAAACAAAGGACACAGATGGATTCATGACAAAATTGTGTTTTGGTGATGGTGATGTGTTTGTAGATCTTACTTTACTGAACATTCTTGCTCCTTACTATTATCTCTATCTATAATGAACTTGGCCCGGTAGTTACAGTGGAAAATATTTTGTAAAAATTTACAAAAATTTACAAAATTTATGAAAATTGTAAAAAATTGACTATAAAGGGCAATAACTCCTTAAGGGGTCAATTGACAATTTTGGTCATGTTGACTTATTTGTAGATCTAACTTTGCTGTACATTATTGCTGTTTACAGTTTATCTCTATCTACAATAATATTCAAGATAATAATCAAAAGCTGCAATTTTTTTTTTAAATTACCAATTCAGGGGCAGCAACCCAACAACGTGTTGCCTGATTGGTCTGAAAATTTCAGGGCAGATAGATCTTGACACAAAAAACAATTTTATCCTCATCAGATTTGCTCTAAATGCTTTGGTTTCAGAGATATGAGCCAAAAACTGCATTTTACCCTATGTACTATTTTTTAGCCATGTCGACCATCTTGGTTCGCGGGCGGGGTCATCTGACACATTTTTAAAACTAGATACCCTAATGATGATTGTGGACAAGTTTGGTTAAATTTGTCTTAGTAGTTTCAGAGGAGAAGATTTTTGTAAAAGATTACAAAAATTTACGAAAAATGGTTAAAAATTGACTATAAAGGGCAATAACTCCTTAAGGGGTCAAGTGACCATTTTGGTCAAGTTGACTTATTTGTAGATCTTACTTTGCTGAACATTATTGCTGTCAACAGTTTATCTCTATCTATAATAATATTCAAGATAATAACCAAAAACGGCAAAATTTCCTTAAATTTACCAATTCAGGGGCAGCTACCCAACAACGGGTTGTCCGATTCATCTGAAAATTTCAGGGCAGATAGATCTTGACCTGATAAACAATTTTACCCCATGTCAGATTTGCTCTAAATGCTTTGGTTTCAGAGATATAAGCCAAAATCTACATTTTACCCCTATGTTCTATTTTTAGCCATGGCGGCCATCTTGGTTAGTTGGCCGGGTCACCGGACACATTTTTTAAACTAGATACCCCAATGATGATTGTGGCCAAGTTTTATCAAATTTGGCACAGTAGTTTAAGAAGAGAAGATTTTTGTAAAAGTTAACGACGACGGACGACTACGACGGACGCCAAGTGATGATTAAAGCTCACTTGGCCCTTTGGGCCAGGTGAGCTAAAAAGGATTATCTCGTAATTACGCGATAGTTTTCTCGTAATTACGCGATAGTTTTCTCGTAATTACGAGATACTTATCTCGTAATTACGCGATAAATATTTTTTTTTGTGACCCTAATAGGCTTTCGTAAGTTATAGATGCCAACGTAAATATTTTAATAAAAAAGACAGGAAATATGTATGTGAAACAAAAAGTTCAAATCTAATTGAAATGTAAAGTGCCCATGAACTCACTGATCATGCGCGAGTGATTCTATTCATAAAAAGTGTCCGTGTAACAACTAAAAAGTGTCCGTGTATCATCTAAAAGGTGTCCGTGTAACACCCGTTAATGTACTGTTTTTCTATAGCTCTGCTGGGGGCAAAGTCGTACAATGGGTAAATGTCTGGTTAAAGTATATCTTATCTTTGATGTGCCACATTAGCATCCCTATAAAGTAAGACAGTCCGTGCATGACCCATGACATACGATATGTTATGCATTTCATTGGCTATTTTCTAGCAAAATTCAGACTATACCTATATCAATTAACGTGTCTGAAGACTGAATTTTGTAAAATATTTTTGTTTGATTTTAATTCTGAAAATTTAGATAAACTGAACTCTTGAACAGATCTTTTCGGGACGTCGGATTGGGCCTATATTTTTGTGTGAATTCGGAATTTACACTTATTAGGACTCGGGAATCAATGATTAATTTTTCGGGATTCGGCATGAAATGCTTTATTTTTTCGGGATTTCGGTATTCAGCTTCTTTTTTTTTCTCGGAAATTCGGGATGACGACCCTCCATCCCTCTCTCACTCTCTTCAGCAGGCAATGTTGAGGAAAAAAAGAAAATCATTCCGTATGAGAATTTGAATTTGTTAAATATTTGCAATTCTTATAACATCACAAAACCTGCAGATTTTTAGTATTTCTTTATGTGGAATGACTACAAAAAGGGGGTGTATACGACTTCCCAAACTTAATCTACAATTCATGTACGATACTCAACACTTTTAATACTAAAACAATTAAAGATATCAATATTTTTTTTAAATATTGAATACTGGTTCCCAACTAAATGTCTAAATATATCTGGAATATTTTCCCTCATATTGACAGCTATCTGAAGTCATTTCATAGTAGCCTGGGATACTGGCCTACTGCTCGACAGTAGACGAAGTATTAGATTGAGTCATGACGCCAGGCTAAGTTCATAGGACCTCAGTTTTCTATAGGCGTTGCAATCCATCACTTTTATCCAATCAACTGTTCTTTGTGAAAAAGATTGGTGTGCTATTGTAGTCGAAACAATGTAATTTAAATAATGACATTGTAATAGTTTTAGGACACAGTTACATCAACATCAAAAGGTAATGTACTTTATTGTGGAAGCTGTGGACTACTGGTTCAAAATAAAATTGATTTCGACAAGTTGCTTTGTAACCACTGTCATGATGTTGGGTGTATCTGACCTTGACCTCATTTTCTTGGATCATGTTAATTTTATGTGTTACTTGTAGTAAAGCTTTATATTTAGGACTATCAACATAAAATCAATGGTTGGTAAAGAAGGCGAGACATTTCAGCGTGTTCACTCTAGTATCATGAAAATTTTGTAAACATTAATGATTTCCAACGAATTCTTACACAAATGAAGAGCATATTTTTGTGAAGAAGATATTCCAAATTTTTTTACAAAAATCCACACGTGTTTTTCTTTTGAAACAAAAAGGTTAAGTATAAAAACAGGGAGATAGATGTCTGTCCAAAAGATAGAAATATCCAAGAAACCGAAATTTTAAGTAAATGTCTACAATTTTGCCTCCATTTATCTCTAAAGGAGTAAGTTCAGTAAGGGCCATATTTGGCCCCGATTATAAAGTTCAATTTTACAAGATAAAAAATGTTTTAAGTTGACTTAAAGACATCTGAGAAAGTTAAATAGAACTATTTGTGTCAAAGTTTTATTCTAAAGCGTTGATTTTTACATCCCAAATAGGTCAATATAAGAGATTTTGGCAAAATTTGACAAAATTGACCGGATTTCAACCAAATTTAGGACTAGGAAACATAGAGCGCAGGCGTTGACAAACTAAATACTCAAGTTAGACATGTGAAATGTCTTTACAAACATTATTTTAAAAGATTTTTTTGTCGACGTAAGTGCCCATTTTCATTGATTTTTTCGTGGAAAATCAAAATTAGTACTATTTGTGACGTCATGAATAAAACGCAGGAACATAAATTTTCAACAAAAAGGCTTATTTTCTATCTAGTCACTGTATTAGCTATGATTCATTGTGATATTGGTCAATAAATCCTAATTTGAAATTTAAGCTAAAAAAGGGGGCCATTTTTGGGCTTATCGAACCTACTCCTTTAGCACATGAAGGTATATTTTTTATTACATATTTGAATCGACTAGGTGAAAATAGCTTGTATGCAAATTTTTGTAAAAAAATCACCGTGGGATCAAAACTGGATTGTATGCCCTTACCATCAACGTTAGATCAAACATTATAGCGTGAATAAGGATTTCTGATGATCATAACGAGTTCAACCCCTTTTTTGTGTGATTTGTGTTGCTCAATTTGAAGTGGTTTGCGGAAGGTTCTTTCACTATTCGTTTTTTGAGTTGCCATGAATTGTCTCTGACTTCTCCCCTTTTTATGCAGTTGCCTTTGAAACAAATAAATAGTGTATAACATTTTTTTGGTCATTGGATTTATTATGTCAAACCGCAGATGTTTCAGTCATATGTATTTACAAGACGATGGTTTCATTTAACTGTAGTCCAAAACAATGCACTGGTTTAACTTTGATAGTTTCTGTTCTTATCGCATTCATTTTGTCTTCACTATTTCGCTATAAGAGTGTTTTAAATAAAGAAATGTAACACAAAAAATTCCTACTAACTTTTAATGTTTGAGTGTACAACCTAGAAATTCTATTTTGATCATGGGACTTAATCCTTGCCATGTCTCGGGGTATATCCTCATTGATTTAGCTATTACGGGCTTGCTGAAGAAAACTGTTGTTGGGTAGCTCTTCTTCACTATGGTATCTGTTGAAAACATCTGCAATATATATAAATGGCCAGGCCGAGATAATCAAAATAATTAAAATGATTGTTTGCCTTTAATTTTCGTTTAACATCAATATTAATTTTCAAAGACTTTTTTTTTTAACTTTCCTTCATTAACAGTATTTTTTGCCAAACAAATTTCGACCATGTCAAATTTATAGTAGATCTTACTGTGTTGAAGTTTTTTGCTTTTAGTTTCTCTCTATCTTTTATAGTAGTAATAATATGCATTCAAATTTCAGGAAAACACACACACATCGTCAAATTAGTTGCGTGTATTTGAAAGCAGTTTCGAAGGAAAAAAGATAAGCTGATTATAGAACCAGTAAAATATACTATGGGACATAAAGTTCAAAGTTTTGTGTTCTACGGCAAGAATGCCTACACGACGAGGTGGCGTTAGCAATACGCTGCAACGTTATTTTGCGCCAAAAAAACGGTAATGCTATCTATAGCAGTAAAAAGTGAGGTTTTCTGCTTATTTATTAAACAAATAAACACATTTACCTGCATATTTTTTTTTATTTTGAAATCGATTGTGTACTGCTTCGAGAAGGCTTTGTCACAATTGCAAGAAAAAATAAATGATTACCAATATCTCGGAGTTTATTTTTCCCGCCCTTTGACTTTTGCTTAACATAACGCACACTGAATTATATGAGTATAAGCTGCTAAAGCTGCTAAATGAGCACGGATCTTTTAATCGCATATCTTTTGGGATGCTCTCCTGAATTCGGAGATCCGACCATTTCTAGTACACGGATGTGCAGTATTATCTTTTGTGATGCTCTCCTGAATTCGGAGATCCGACCATTTCTAGTACACGGATGTGCCGTATGGTTGTCTTTTGCCGCTTCAAGTTACTAAATACTTAAAACATGGCAATATAAATCGGCAAAACTGAGTTTTGATACTAAATTGAATATCCCCAAATCTGATCTTTGGGATAGCACCCTCTAAACGATGTTCTTGATAGACAAAGGATGTCTTATCTTGCTAGGATTCATGGCCTAGATACAAGTATATTATGTCCATATGAATTTGAAGAGCTTGAGCCCTTAACGTGTCAAAAAAAAAAAATGGCGATTTTGACCATGTTGACTTATTTGAAAATCTTTTTCTGCTAAACATATTTTGGTATTACAGTTTCTCTCTATCTTATATAGTTTCTTAAAAAATATACCAATTTGTAAAAAAAATCATGCAGGGCAAAAACTCTTATAAGGAAGAAGTCAGTTGACAATTTCGGTCATGCTGGTTTCTTTGTATATCTTATTGTGCTTAACTGTTAAACATATTTGCTATTTACAATTTCTCTCTATCTATTACGCATGGTTTCTGCAAAGATGGGTAAAAATCATTAAAGGCAATAACTCCTAAAACGGTTCAATTGAGCATGTTATCCATGTTGCGTTTTATTATGTCTTATTTTGAAGAGCATATTTGCAGTTTCTCTATCTTTTATAATTTCTGCAAAATTGGCAAAATTATTCGTACTACAAAGGCAATAACTTTCGTCCTTCCCTTCGCCTATATCACCCAGCTCAGTCGCTCCGTAATTCTCATATCACGGCTTTGAGACGAGAGCAGTAATAATCAGCTCAGCGATGTAACAATGTTCGAGGAGAAGTTATCAACGACGTCACAATGTGTGAGGAGACATTATCATGAGTATTCTCGTCAAGCGTAAAACTATCAAAAACTGCAATCATCCATATGGTCTATTTTTAGATAAAGCACCTGTTTGTTGATAAATCAAATTCCAGGATACATTTTGTAAACTAGATTCCCTAAAGAACATTCACAAACAATTCGGTAACATATGGCCAAGAATTTTCAGACGAGAACTTTTCGACGACGGATGATGACGCCGACGGGTGCAAAAAAAAAAAATCCGTGGCCATGTGAGCTAAAATTAATTCTGCGACCACCTAATACTTTCATACCATTAACACGGAAATGATCACATCAATAACATAATAAAGGATGTACGCTTCTGAGGAGCCAAATATTTCTAGAATTAAACTTTTTTCTTAACCGGATTTTTGGTTTTATATGACTATAAGAAAGTAACTGATGAAGGAAAAATCATATGGTGGTGCTCTTCTTTTCTTGCTACGGTCATTTGAAAGTACCCATTTTTTATGATTTTTCCGTTTTTCATCAATTTTTTACCCATTTTTGGGCTATTATCATGAAAAAAATCACAATTTCACAATTAGACTTTTTTCTCATACTTCCGCTAATGATGAAGTGGACCAATCTGAATAAATTTAATTTAAAAAATCTATAGGTTGGTATTAATATTAGAAAGTTTTATAAAATTTTGTTGCTTTTTCGTGTCAAATTGACCATGCTGTCAATTTTGTAAATATGGGATTTTTCTCTCTTTTTTTTTTTAAGAAAAAAAAGCATATTATTTCAACTTCTTTGTTATAAATGATTGAAAAAATACATATCTAAGAATTTTGAAGAGAAAAAATTGATATGGGATGTACATATCTTTGGTAAAATCATTTCTTTGTACCCTCACATATTTTCTCAACATTTAGGCTGATGACACTGACCAGATTGGTTATAAAATTTGAAAATTTTATTACTCAAAAACAATTTATTGTAAGCACATAATTTTTTAACAGAGTTTAGTTTGATTATGATATTTTTTATATTCATTAATATTTTCCACTTGTATTACATGTTTTGGAAATAATTCCCGAACGAGATTTCAACGAGACTGAAACCTCAGAAAAATCAATCCTTAACCTAAAAGCATTGATTTGTGTTTTAATTGAACCAATGACTAATTAATTTTGATTTTTTTTTAAACTTTTCAATGGTTTCATATATCCCATGACATCGTTAAACGCTTACCATAATTTCACCATCTTTGTCACTGACAGAATTCCATTTTTCGGAATTGCCAAGATACTGCAAGACAAACTTTGTAATACCGTTATCATGTGGTCCCTGAGAAAACTGCACAGCTTTTATTCTAGATATGGCGTGTTTCTTGAATTTGATGGTAATATAGAACATGCTGTTTTTATCTACGAGTTGTGCATCCATATTGTCGAATTGTAGGCGCTGTAGCTTACCTCCGCCTGTTAGTAGTGGTTCTACGCAAGTTTGTCCTGAATTAACAAATCAATAGAAAAATAAGGATAACATGTTCAAATAGTTTGCCTAATAAAAGTCACTTGTAAACTAATTAATAGATCAAGGTAAGCCTCTGAAGTTGAAAAACACATTGAAAAACCATATACAATAGTGGGAAAACACAAGACTTCCCTAGAACATTTACGAATTCAATGCCATTAAGTTTCCTCGTTTGCCAAAGTTCAGTATTGTACTATTTATTAGCTTACTGTCCATATGTCGTAGCAAATCTAAACTTTTTTTGTGATCGGATATAAACTGCTCAAAAAAAAACATAATTTTATGAGTAAACTTGGATGAGTATTGATAGATACTTTAGTCTGGTAGAACATGATTTATTTATCAGTTGTAATTGGCTTTGAACTTGCGTTCAGTAACTTATTTCGGTGCTTTGTGTCTACTGTTTTTAATGTTAGTTTTTTTTACTTCGTACCGATCTTTTGAGTTAAGGTGGCTCACCCCAATAAGGACCCCCGGTAGAAATTTTTTATTTTCACATATTTTGTAGATTTTTTTATGTTAAATCCAAAAATGCAAAGAAAAAAGAGGGTCGCCAGTCTCTTTTTCCCCTCAAATGGAAGCGAAATGTGCGATTTTGACCCTATTTCCAAACTTTTCCACCTTTTCAACAATAACGCCTACATCAAATTCAAAGACTTTTAGAACCATGTCAGTATGATTATTATGTGAAAAAACAATTAAATTTGATATGTAAACGTTTCCCTTGGTTGTTGTAGACTTAAAAATCCTTTTATTTTCTGATTTATGTCTAAATTTTGCATTTTCTAATTTCAGTTTAAGGCTAAAAATATTGGTTAAATCGATTTTTCGTAAAATTTCCCCGGTAGATTTAAAAAAAAAAGGATATGTCAATGCTTTGAATTTTTCGAGCATTTTAAGGTAAAATAAAATGGGGGTCACCAGGCTTTTAAAAAAGTTACGAGCTTTTGTTTAACCCCTCTACCCCACGAGGTCTGATTTCAATGCACTCCATTAATTACTTTCTTGTGAATTTTTTATTGATGTCTTTAAATAAAAAAATGTTTGTAATTATATCAATGGACGATAGCTGAATATAAATGTGATTAAAATTTTACTGTTTGTTATAAAAAAGCGAAATTTTGATTATTTTGGTGAAATACGGTAATTTTGTCTGACGCGAGTTGCTTCCCTCTAATTTGGCGCCATAATCGGACAACAGAAATTTCAGGGTCGCCATTGCTGAGCAGCATACTGCACTGATAAATAAGACCATGTACGTGCATAACAGACATAGTGGCGAGTAGACAACGATGAAGGTAGAGTCATTACATAAGAAAACATAGATTTGAATTTATCCTGCAATCAGTTAACTATTGTATAAATAACAGGTACACAAATAAATTTTTGCTTTATTTGTACTTGTACAAATACAGTCTCCTGTTACCCCGCTTCCATGATGAGCAAGCGGTAATGTGGATATTTCTTTTTGCGTACCAGTTCATTTTGGGGTCCTCTTCGCGGTCCGCGTTTAAACTATGTTGATTTCTTTGAAAAATTAGAGACAATGATTTAGATTTTAACAACTAATGTTTCAAGTGTTGGATGTAAATTTCAGGATAAAAACAATATATGTACATTGTCGGAAAATATAAAATTTATTTGTACTCGCTACTAAACAGGAGAAAAGCTCGGTGAGCCTCGCTTTTCGTCCTGTTTCTTAAGCTCATACAAATAAATTTTATATTTTCCAACAATGTACATACCATGGTGTGTCAGTGTAAGATCACCCCGATGGCTGGAGGCCAGAGGGTGATCTAACACTGACACACCAAGTCCGAATGGGATAACTATTTTACATCCCAGCTGTTTTAGATTAGACGAAAAACCATTTAAAATCTAGTTTAGAACACCTCACAACCATTATAATATACTTTATATATTACTATATAATATATACCCTGTATGACCCCCGATCACGATGTTTAAATATGAAACCATGTCAACTCGCCCCACTGGCCAATCGGCCCACTCTTGTTTACCAACTCGCCCCACTTATGAAAAAGGATAAAATCCCATTGAACAATCAGTCTGACAATTCGCCTTATTTATGAAAAGGGTTAAAATCCCACTGAATAAAGGTCTGCCAACTCGCCCCACTTATGAAAATATATTGCTTCCTTTAAATATGTCAAATTACTGAGAGTTTGTATCCATTTATCCTGGTGTAGGGGTATGTGTCGTGAGTTGATATGCCAAAGGTCTTGAGTTCGAATCCCAGCATAGACAATGGATTTTTTTCTACATAAATTTTGAAAGTGTGTCTTTTCTCCATTAATATTTCTAAGTTTTATTTTGGATTTGGCATTCCCGCCTAATGTTTCAAAACAAAGGAAAGCATGCAAAACAAAGAAACTCAAGCTGGGGTGATCTGGTAGGGATGATCAGGCTCAGATCACCCCTGGTTGAACAAAGGATGTAACAATGAATTATCAAATGCTAAACTTGACTGCAGTTCAGTGTACATAATTTGGAAATTGTTTCTTTTTCTTTGTATGTTTTAGATACGAAAAGTGGGCTCATTTTTCGTCAGGAGTAACATGGTTTAAAATAGGGTACATTTGGCATTAAATGGTTATTTCAAAAAAGGGTTTGTCATATTTACTAAGTACTCCTGGTAGAAATGTGTACATTTTTCAAAATTGAAAAAAAGACAGCATCACCCAAAAAACATGTTTATAATTGAGCAGTTAAAATAGAAGTGTATACAACCGAAGCGATATCCAAGAAGAAGGGGAATTAATGGACAAAAGACAAACTCGGGAACGAAAAAGACACACATGGACAAACAGCAACATTTAACATTGAAAACAAAAAAGAAATGAGAAACACGGACCCCGAAAAAACTGGGGCGACCCCAGGTGCTCCGGAATGAACTTCGAAACAAGAACACAAGCCATTCCAATAAATTAATCCTATTCACTAGGTAATATCCTTTTTCAGTTGAAAAAAACAAAAGATAAGGGGAATACGACACATCAGACATGACAAAAACTTATTTTTCTGAATTGAGCGACTCGGGCTCCTCTAAGGCACATACCATTTGATTTTCTGGGGGCCTGGGAATTTTTAGAACAAAATATTCCGGCTCTGATTTGTCATAAAAAATTTCTTTAAAAAAAAAAGATTTTCCCCAACAAAATTTTATTGCGTTTATTAAAGGCATTGGCAAAAATAATCCGGCTCAGGTATACATGTTAACAGCCCCCCCTCCCCCCCCCCCGAAAATTAAACGGTTTGTTCCTAAAACTAAAAGCATGGACCAGATGCCTTCTCTGTTTTTCATGAAATACTGGCCGAGTCGTTAGAGATGTGTCTAAAAATTTCGTTGAAATTTATGAAGTCCGTGACGGAATTCCCAGAAAGTAGAAATCCTATTTGTAAAACAAACGAAATTAATGTCCTCGTGCATTCACTAAACTGTCAATTACATGGAGGCGTAACAAAGAGGCGGAGTTTAAATCATGGTTTAACATAAAAAATATCAGATTATACTATAGTTCAAGCTCCGCCTATCTACACAAAGTACGTCATGATTCTTTATAATGGAATAACATATCAATCTTTATATTAAACCATGGTTTTTCAGAAACCGAACTATTAAGCAGGTTATTACGTAAAAACTTCAAAGGAAAAATGCCGTATTATGTTACAAAACATATTTGACACTAACATCATATTGGAATCATTGAAGCGCGCGAAGAGGGACGTTATAATTTACCGCTTTTTGTCAAGCAGAAAACAACGTCACGGTGCTTTTATGTCATAATCCAGCAGCATTAGCTAATGCGCACAAACAAGTTGCTTTCTTTAAAAAAAGAAATGCAATCGTAAACCCAAATGCTTGCTTGGCATTAGATATAAGATAATTGTTTAAAAAAAAAGATTTATTGTTTTATATCATTTTTGTTATATAAGAATTAGAAACTGACAGTGACTGTTTACTTAAAGTAAATACTGTTCAATGTGGGGTGAAATATTCTTGTTAATGTTATGCTTAGGGTAGCAAGCATTGGCAATTTTAAGTTCTGTGCTTTGTGTATGCTCTTAAAAGTTTTAGATGACAAACCTCTTTTGTTAAAAACAAACACTTTTAAAACCTTTAAATCGCTTTGAAGATATTTTCCGGATGTCCCTTTTTATTTTGATGTTTTCTTATATTTTAAAGAGGTCATGAAAAAAGGCCTGCAAGTTTAATTGTAAATATATACAATTTGAATCGCACTGTATCCTCCTCACCTTGATGACCGAAACCAATTCATTAAAAAAGATATTTATAACCTAGACAAAACAGCTTACACCTTGTACTTATAAACAAACAAACAAAATTGAAAACAACAAAAAAACTAACATGGTCAAACCTGAAATTACCACTAATCGGTTTACCCATCACCTAAATATGATTTTGTTTAAGGTCACATTTATGAACTGTTGTAAGGTGTTCCTTTTTGTCGAGCCTAGGTTAAAGTTTTTTTTAAATTTTAATAACTTTCTTATACTATCCTGGATTTGTACCAAACTTGGACAGAAGCTTGTTTTTGATTAAAAGCTAGTATCTAGAAGGAAATTTTTTGTTAAAATTTTGTACCTGTTTATCTATATTTTACTTATAAATGGACTTAGTTTTTCTTCCAGTTAACATTATATACAGTCTGAAGTTAAATTTTTTAGATTTATAAACTATCCTGGATTTTTCCTAAACTTGGACAGAAGCTTCTTAAAATGAAAAAAAATAGTATTGAGAGGAATATTTAATTGATGTTTTTCCTCATTTTAGTTGAGCCTGCGATTTACAGCAAAAGTAGGCGAGACACTGGGTTCCGCGGAACCCTTACGATTTTTTTTTATCTGAACACGATTTTTTTCATTAGATATTAAAGGGTGTCTAGCTTTTACATGGTAAAATTACACTACTGTCTTATGGTATGTATGCATGCCAAGAAATTGCCTCCGTTGAACATGTTGAAATTTTGCAAACATCCCATAGAGCAAATTACATGGATGATTAATTTTGACCATTTGGTATATGGCTGTGTTTTAAGTGAGACGTATACGCGGGTCATAAATTAATTTATTGAATGAAATCAAATCTTTAACTACTAATGGATGCCGTAGGAGGCCGACCGGAATTTTTAGCGAGGATTTCTTGGCATGTAACAGATAGAAAACGCAGGGTAAACATTCATAGAACAAAGACAAGGGGCAGTGGCAAATATTTCATGTATATTTTGAACACAAAGAGGATTTCCCCGGTACCCTTTGCCAAAAATAATCTTCTTTTTCTTCTATTTGCCAACGGACTTTATGTTATGAATTGTAGTTCCACAGGGAATATTTCCTTCTAATGAACTCTACATCTGAAAAGTTTGATTTTTTTTTTATTTAATTGAAAGAGAGAAAAACAAATGTAAGACAAATTGTGAATGGTCTTTCTTCCTTTCTCCCGTAAATTCTTTTAAACCAGATGTATTCATAAGCACATGTCCCAAGTCCGAAGCATGTTGTTTAGTGGTTGTCTTTTTTTGGTGCAGTTCATATTTGCTTTTTGTTTCTGGTTTGAAGTTAAATTAGATCTGTTTGTTTTTTCCTGTTTAAATTGTTTGATAAGTGTTTTGGGGCCTTCGGTAGGATGCTGTCCAATGTGAGCCAAGCTGTTGTGTTGAAGGCTGAATTATAACCTATAATTGCTAATTTTGACTACACTGTGTTTTGATGGAGAGTTGTCTTCCTACCACATTTAAAAAGATATTCCCTGACATTTGACAAATCCATTAGAATAATCTAGATATTGAAATTGAACTGAAGTTGCCTAGTAGGTTTCTTACATTGACCCGGCTATCGTTTTTCTCTCTTGCTGGATAGTTTTATACTGGTCATTTGGGGGCACTGTGTAGCCTACTGATCAGTGAGATGGCTCAAAATCTTCTTACACTGTTTTACATTTTCGTACTTAATATATTAAAACCGAAAATCCATCATCTGATCGTCTTTAAGAAATAATAAATTATTTATTTTTATTTTGACGAACATTTTGAAGAGCATTAATTACTACAGGCCGAACATATAGTTAGATAATCTGTTCCCTGACCAAGATAACTATAAATAGAAATTAATTTTTCTTATCTCTGCCTGCATCTGTCATCACTCGGTGTCTATTAATTAATAGACATTTGATAAGGAAATAGCGTTGCAATATTTAAACAAAGAAAATTGTAATTTTAAAGAAAATAAAAACTATTCAAGGACGTATATCAATTTAGATTATATACGTCCTTGGTCTATCCTAGACGTAAAATTTCAATAAAGAGCAAGAAAGACTTCATTTTAATTTCAGTATTGTCTTTTAGTTAGTCCCACAAGGACGTTGAGGTATGACAATTATGAAATAGCCTGCTTCGTACATTATGTACATTTTCCCTAGACTCGGAATCTTAAGTGAAATGCTAGTAATACTTCTTTTATAGATTTTAGTTTTAACAAATCTCGTTTCGAATATAAATCGCATTGTTTACGTGAAATCTTATCTCATATCTAAACACAGCTGGTTTCAACGTTTGACTCTAATTAGAATAACTACGCGTATATGTAAGGTAAATATTAGCAGCTTGTAATTGTGCAAGGAAGTATTCAAATGCTTATTAAAGTAGCTTGCGTCAATATAAATTTCGCATCATATATGTAACATATCTCTATAGCAACTTTAAGATGCTAATGATTCAACAGGTCAAATAATAAGCTATTGCGCATGTATATGAAAGGTGGCCATAGAAAGAAACAGATGTATTCCGAATAACATCCGGTGTTCCGAAAGACTACGGACATCGTCCAATATATACTGCGTAAACCCTCAGGGGTTTACGCAACAATAAGGCTGTTTTGTAAACTATAAGCGTTATCCTCTTGTAGCCCTTTACGTGTGCCTAAGCTATAATAAATTGTCTTAAATATTTCAAACACAACATAAATTATTCACGTAAAGGAGAAGCGTCAGTAACCCCAAATAGCGGCCCTGTAAAGGTGTTTTTTTTAAACTTTAGTTGTTTGAGTAAATCTAAGTGTATGTATTGCTCAATAATTTAATTTTGGATGTAACGCGTCTTCTGATTGGCTGGCGTTATTTTGTTTATCAGCTCATAGACATAATTTTGTCATGTGACCGTGATGTCAACAACTTTTTTTCATGGTTTACTCTGGTTTAAAATTGAATTTATAATTAAATTATAAGAAATGACTGTAATATTTTTTCTGTCTATTCGAAATAACATGCGGGTTATTCAGTGTGCACCACATTTTTTATGTTATTTCTTCATAGACAGACAAAATATTACAGTCATTCCTTAAATGTATTATATTTTCAGCAATATTAATTTTAAATTGTTATCTCTCAAAGTCCTGTCCTACGAATTTCCTTTAAAAATGATATGTTAATGCGGGGAAATGATATAAAACTTGTAGCTGATAACAAATTGCGTTTTTTATAGTTTTTTTTATAGTATAAATAGTCCAATCTTTGCACAGCATGACAAAATTAAGACTTTTTATACAGGACTATCAATTTGCTTTAAACATCTTGTTAATTTTAAAAGTTACATAAATCATCAAATACAGTATCGCATGCTTAAGATGCTTGGACAATTCATAAAAATCCGTGAGATCACCCATTTACGTAACTGTTACCTTACACGAACATCAATCAATCAATCAATCATATCAACAAGATTTTATGTCAAATCAGTGTTGAATTTGTGTTGTGTTTTTTTTCTTATTTTCTTGACTAAACTTTCTATTTTGATAACAAAAAAAAAATCTTACCTTCTAAACTACAAGATAAAAAGTTGACGTGGAGAAGTGGTTCGCCTGACCATTGATCTGGATAGATACGAATGTCGGTTGTTCTTAGGGGTACAGGTAGGCGAAATGTCATCGGTTTTGAACATGAATTCCTCGATTGCTGGCCCATATCAAACACCTGAAATATATTGTTTATAGATATAAGAAGATGTGGTATGAGTGCCAATGAGACAACCCTCCATCCAAGACAAAGTTTATAAAAGTAAACCATTATAGGTCAAAGTACGGTCTTCAACACGGAGCCTTGGCTCACACCGAACAGCAAGCTATAAAGGGCCCCAAAAATTACTAGTGTAAAACCATTCAAACGGGAAAACCAACTGTCTAATCTATATAAAAAACGAGAAACGAGAAACACTTATGAACCACATCAACAAACGACAACTACTGAACATCAGATTCCTGACTTAGGACAGGTGCAAACAATTGCAGCGGGTTTAAACGTTTTAATGGTACCAAACCTTCACCCTTATCTGAAACAATAGTGTAACATCACAACATAGAAAAACACACTATAAAATATCAATTGAAATGGTTTAACTCAATCAAAAGACATATTAACAACCGGTGAACATACACTGAACAAATAAATTTGATCTATGATACAATGCAAATACAAAATAAATAAACTAACGGAAAAATAATTAAAGTAAAATGTTATACCGCTGTGAAATTGTAAACAATTTAAGAATCAAAGTACTGAAGTACTGAACATCGGATGACCACAAGTTCTTGAGGATGGTCAAAAGCACTTGTCTCAGAAAAAAAACAACATATCTCTTTACCTGAAACTGAGGTTAATGTACAGAGATATATTTTTTTCTGAGACAAGTTCGTGCGTGGATGATGAATAAATGACAGGAAATTCATCTTCACCGTAATAACTACATGTATTATATTGTAGTGATACAAATCAGTATATATTATATTAAAATAACAGTTACATACATATATGATTTGCATCCATTTGTATATCATTCTATTCTACTATTCTAATAATAGTGCAATGCAAGTGCATGGTGGACACTTTTCTGTAAAAATTCGATTTTTCTAAGATTGGATACGAGTAGGCATTCATATTTTCCCGCAAAAACAATTACAGAGTTACCGGTCCTTCAAAACGTTCTTTGAGATATTCTTCCGCATGCTTTAACACAATTTTTCGGTACGTGTGCATTGATATTATCAATGATTTTTTACTTATATATATATATATCTAACTACAAAACATTTTCATATTATTAATTTATGTTGTAAACAAAAATATTTTTATCAGTATTCATTGAAGAGATGTATTTATATCAAACGATACGGAATGTTATTTTGCATTCGTTTATGTGCGCATATTTATCATGTTTATAGATCGGTTACAAACCCAAAACTAATTTACATAATGGAAATCTAGGCGATAGCAATACATCGGGATGACCTCAAGGTCATCGCGATGTAAAAACAATATACTTGAACAAAAATATCAGCCATTTGCAATTACTTTAAACACAGGTAAATAAAAATAATTTTGTTAGGTATACGTGTACAGTTCAGATAGAGAAAGGAAATATTTTTACAAAATAAATAATTTTAATGTTCATAGTACGAAGAAGTGAAAATTTATAGTAATACCAAACATAAAAATGTTTGAATTTGTTGTTATGAATTAATGTTATGAATTAATACTGTCGTTTATTTTTCATATGAATTAAATATTGATATAGCAAACATCTACTAGAAAATGTTTACATGTATTAACTTATATTAGATTTATATCACGTTTGATTTAAGGTGGCTGGGCCCTTTAGCAGTGCGCATATATGTTTCTGACGACGAGCGCCTTGGAAACGGTCGCTTTGAGGGGTTTTCTCAAAAATAGTTTTGACGACATTGGAACGCGGGCGTGTATGAGAGCACCCTTTCCTAATGTCAACAAACCATGCAAAACGTTCTACAAAATAGGAAATACATACGGTCAGAACTACAGAGTGGTTTGTTCATTTTTCACATAAAAAGGACAGAATTATACATGATATATTAAAGCATAACATTAAAAAATAAGAAAATATAAATATTGACATGTACGACGGTATATGGTGCGTTCGCTCCAAAAACACATTCTCACCCTACACGTTCGCCCCTTGGACCCGTTCGCACCCTATTTTCATTTAAATACTGGTTGAATACATCAAAAGATGTCTTTTAGATGTATTAGTATATATATGAAACGCGATGTTTAACCGTAAACAAAGGGTAGCGATGTAAACAACTGCATGTCACCTTACGGCTTCTAAAAACAAGTAAAACCCATATAGTATGCTATAGTATAAAGGCATCGGGGTTCATCTGCACGCTATAAATAATAAATAAATAAATAATTAATAAATAAGCTTTATTTAGAGTCAGCAAAGTATACAAACAGAGTCAACATTAGCTCTAATGAGCTTTTTAACCGTTTTATCCGTTTGGCGTATTATTACATTTTGTTACTGTCATAAATCTCTTTTTTACTTGAAATATCTTCATTTCCAAGTATTGGTAGGATCTTATCCCGGAGTATGTGAAATATTTTCCCACTGCAAAATTTTGATAATAGTTACGTATTTTTTATTTGCCAAAAATTTTTGAACATAACAATTCCGGAGTATGTGAAATATTTTAACACTGCACAATTTTGATAATAGTTAAGTATTTTTTATTTTCCCAAAAAATTTTGGACATTACAATTTTCAAACAAAGACTAAATACTTGACAGTCACACATAACATTTTTATTTAACGATTTATATACTTTATCAAATAATGGGCACGAAAATATCTAACAAATTATCTCGTTTCATGATTCTATGATTTTAGGAAATCTAGTCCTATAACATGAGACCTCGGGGCCAATTTTTTTCTATTTAGGATATTTTCCTTTTACTTATTTTGCTATTTGTTAATTTTCTATTTTCTGTTGTATCTACATGTATCAATATGCCAACAGAGTTCGCATTAAAGAAAAAAAAGAGGAAATAACAGCGTAAAAACTAAAATAATTGATTAAGAATTAGTTATTATAATAGACTAACGGAACTCGAGCAACACATTTTTTGCTTTACGCAGAAACAAAAAAAAAAAACACCGGACACTTCAATAATTTGCAGTTTTCCACCTTTGATCATGTAGATGAAAACTGGTCAATGGCAACCGGGACCTTACTAGTATTCCGACCTTATATATCGGTATATGCTATTATCCCTCAATACCGCATGCTTTGCGGAGAAGCGCAAAATATTTGGTTTGACTAAGTCGGGATTTTGCCTAGGACACACATCCGCAGTCTACCGGGCAGTTCCAAACACTACCAGTTAAAGACATTATATATAAACAAAATCTATACTACTTACTAGGTTCAGGAAAAGTTGGGATTGTAATTTTAAAACTCAGCCCAGTACACAGGGACGCTATATTAGTCGGTGATATTGGCAAACTTTAACTTCTGTCTTGCTTTTTGATATGCGTTTTTTTTCAAAAGGGGAGCTAATAAGAAAAGTTCTTGATTTAAAAAAATTAAAGTGGAGTGTGTCATTGCGGCAAGAATTATGTATGACAACTTTTTAATGATGTGTGATCACTGGTTTGACCCACCTGCTAGCTGCAAAGAAACGTAATTATCGGCCTATGATGATAATATGGAGATGAAATTTTTTTTTTAATATTGACTTTTAAATTTGAACTTTGGTGAAGTGAATAGTTGTCTCATTGGCAATCATACCACATCTCCTTATTTTCATATCGTAGGGTATAAAAATATGACTTACCTAATCTGACAGATAATCCCTTGCCGGGGGGGGGGGGGGGGGGGGGGAGGAGGAGGGGGAGGGGGAGGAGGGGGCACTTCAATACTTAATTGATAGGGGGTGCCGCTGGGGCCCACCTTATTCATATAATCTATATTTCAAAAATGTATACCTTTTCATATATTGCGTAGGTAAAATTTAACCTTTTCCCGATAATGCTTGGGTTTCATGTAGTATAATGTAAGACTAGAATACCAAAAAGTTAAAAGAGAAAATTTGGTTGATAAAATCACACCCGGGAACACCAAGAAAGATGACAGACGAAGAAGTTATGGAAACTTTATTGACCTTATCATATATTTTTGATAGTTTTCCCGACCTATTCACATATTTTCAAGCTTGAAAAGGTGACCTATTCCAGCGGAAAGTCATATCACCTTGAATAAAGGAAGTGCCCCCTCTCCGAGATAAATACGCAGTCTCGTAGGGTTAAAAGGAGGAATTTTGTTCATAACAAGCATGCATTGTCCATTCATTTTCTAGTGGCAGTCCATATAATTTTAGTGTTAACAAGAGTGCACAAGCTGAAATGTCTCACCTGCTTTACTAATCATCATTCATGATTGGTTTTATGTTGATATTCCTAAAGATAAAGTTTTACTACAAGTATCAGAAAAAATTAATATTATCAATGATCATGAAAATGATCAGATAAACCAATCCAAGCCAGCCTTACACAGTGGCGGAACCAGAATTTTTCATGAAAAGGGGGGGGGGGGGGGGGTAACTGCTTAAGAGAGGCCTGATCCAGTCATGCTTCAGTGATTCCCTATATAATCAACCAATGGGCTCTCCCCATAAATCCGCCTCTTTTACAATCACCCCATCAACCAAATATTTTGAAACATATATATAGTATGCCAGTAACAGACAAAACCATGAACATGAGGTTAAGTTCAGGCCCCGGCGCAATAAAACTTTTATTTTCTGAGTAAAAAAATATTCTCAGAATGAATTATATTACTCAGCTAATTCTGTATTAAAGACAACTGCATATATTGCAGTTTGTGTATCATGAATTGTGTTTGCAGCAAAATTCACTACAGACAGCAAAAAAAAATTAATTCAGCTCTATTAAAATTCATTTTTTGAAACATTTTTTATTTTTATTCCTCAAATGTCTATGAGATCAAGTTTATAAAACATTTATTAGCATTGTTAATTTCAGTATACTAGTAATTGTTGACATGTATACATCATGTACATGTACAATCATTAGCTGATCAGCTCTATATTTTCATTGTTTTTATATCAATATTCTTCTTCAGTGTTTTTTATAAGACTCA